GTGTGTGTGTGTGTGTGTGTGTGTGTGTGTGTGTGTGTGTGTGTGTGTGTGTGTGTGTGTGTTTTTATGGGTGTGAAACAAAACATATTATTAAGTATGCACTTAGCAGTTGAAGGGCGCACTAGAGACCGGATTACGCTATCGTGTTCAACTCTTGAAGGCGAAGCTTAAGGGTCCCCCAATTTTTATGTGGAGCTTTAGGAGCTTCGCTCTTAAAAATGGAACATGCACAATAACTCGCCGGCTACATCACATGAAGCTGATTCCCACAATTAAGGCGTGGTATTTGCGGAATTCTTGTAGCTAGAATTTATAGCCTAGACGAAGACTTTTCGCCCAGTTCAGGTTTCTCTTCTTCATCAAATAAGATGGCTTTCGTGCAAGGAAATAACACAAATATAAGTTAAACAACAGTTATGTCGTACGCAAGCGCGGTCACTTGAAGTGAGAAACAGTGTCACTGAAATAACACTAAGGGCGAATGCCTTACCGCGAGACATCGCAAGCAGAGCCAAAATTAATGCCGCTGTGCCCATGCATACTGACAATAAGTGTCAACTTCATCTACATCAATAGAAATGCGCGTATGCGAGCGTAAACCTCTAGCCAATGAGCAATTCGCCAAGGAACTTGGTCAAAATAAGACAAACACGAACGCGTTAATTGCGCGGACTTTGTAATGTTTAGAACATAAACTACTACTCACCAGAAGTGAAATTAACGCTGAACGCTTTGTAGTTAGCCGAAATTTTATTGACGAGTCGGCGGTGACCCACTCAGCCTAACGCCCCTCCCTGCGCCAATGTTTGCCTCCTATTGCTAAAGTGACCGAAGGCACTCTATAAGATTTGGCTCTGTCTGTGCTATTGCTGTTTTGTTTTTCGCCACGGCCTATTGCTACATCAAAAAATAGATGGCGCAATTTACGTACAGTCACACCGACCTAAGCAGAGTATGATCAGCTATTTTTTCACTGAATGAGGCAAGGAATATCCTAAGGAGCGATCAGTAGCGATCTTCACGATGCTATTAACATTGTTACTACACGTTTTCCCGCATCTTCGCTGATTTTGTTAGGTAACTTTCATTTTCCTAATATATATTGGAATTCTCATTCCGCTTCAATTTTTCCACTCTCATCCCAAGCTCACAATTTCGTAAATGTCAGCTTGGCTTTCTCATTACAGCAAACGTGTACACAACCAACAAGAATAGCTGCGCACGTTTCAAATAGACTAGAATTATTACGTACAAAAAGTTTAAATATCATTTCGCCTATAACTTACCTTCCAGGCCTTAGCGATCGTTTGATCCTCTATGTTGACATTAAGTTAGCTCCTCCGAGAACAAACAAAAAGGAAAACAATGACACGTGACTACAGCAGGGAGAATTCGAGGCGATCAACTATGAACTTTCTAGCTTCACCCATCTTTTTCTTGGTGGTTTCGACAATCGAAGTGTCGAAACTAACTGGAACATGTTTTCAAATAAAATTGCGTAGCTCGGAGACCAATACATTCTACACCGTATCGTATTAAACAGCTCAAATGCTCTCAGGGTACAACCGCTATATCAGTTGATTATCAAACAGAAAAAACTTCCAAGCATTTCCCCGAGGGTGAGCATGGTTAAGTGCGAATGCGCGGGGTGATGCCATGAGGGGGAGTAAAGTTAAAATCCGTTGGCATTCACCAGTGAGTTAACGTAAGCTCCCCCGTGTGATCACATTGCGATTCCCAGGAACCATTAGACCCTCTCGGGAAATCTTGGTGAGTTTACGCGCAAATGTGAGAGTAAATTCGCACTGTAATGATGTTTATGTCCGCGGCCCACTTCGCCCGCTTGCGCTCGGCATCACGGACCCTTCGCCGCGCTGCCTTGTCTTCAACCGGCGCGACATCTTCAACAACGCGTGCAATGCTCGCATTCAATTGCGTTGTACTCGTTGTTGGAGGTATCGCAGTCGAGGTTGATGCCTGCGATGGATCCATACCTATAACGACTTGCCGATCTCGAGCAAGTCGTGGCGCGCGCGCAGCCACGGAGCGGAAGGTGGAGCGCGCAATCACGTGGTGTGTAACGTCGCTGCGCCGTTGCTACAGACGCTCCTCTCCGCTCCTCGCGCCGTTGCTAGGGGAGAGGAGGAGGCGCACCGCGGACGGCAGATTCAAGGTCGCTTATAAAGTGCATTCGCACTTAAAAGCGTTTTCGTTTTTTCGCTCCACAAAGATTTCGCCTACAAGTGATCGCTGGGCTTTGCACGCAACAGCGTCTGCTCTGTACATTCAAGCCCTTCGAGAAGCAAAGAAACATTTCCATTCTCGTGCACTGCCCTCTATGTAGACCACTAATGTTGAGAAATTCTGGCGAACTATTAACCCCCCAACCAATGACGTCATCACGCTGACCGATTCCTCTGGTGACCCCATTTCATTGGACGTTTGCGCCACAGTTTTTAACGGTACATATTCTGAGAACTTCTCAGCTATCTCGGTTGTTCGTACGCCGACACCTGTCACCCATACTTTTGAAGTCATGCCGCTATACTAATCAGTGCATTCGGTATTTCTAAGCTAATTAGTAAACTTGGTCTTCATTCAGCACCCGGATGCGATAATATTGGTGCGAAGTTTTTGAAAAACACTTCTGTCTATGCTGCGCTTATCCTGTGCAAACTTTTTCAGCAATCGCTTGATCATTTCGTTCTTGCAAAAGTGTGGAAAATTAGGAAGGTTATTCCAATTCACAGATCTTGCAGCAAAACATCTCCTCTTGACTATCGCCCAACTAGCACATATTGTAAAATATTTAAGCACATTATATTCACCAACATTGTCAGTTTTCTTCAATCAAACTCGTTCTTCTCTTCAGCGCAACATGAACTTACGAAACATTATTCATGTTAAACTCAGCTCGTATCATTTACTCATGCTCCACATCAAGTTCTAGACCGATCATTAGTCATCGATTGCATATTTTTAGATTTTCGAAAGCCATTTGACAAGGTATGCCATAAATTACTGCTGCTTAATTAAACTAAAAATCATAATATTGATATCAATTTACTGAAATAGATTGAATGTTTTCTGCTAAACCGCTCACAACTTGTTTCCTTTAATGGTTCCGACTCCGCATTTACAGAGGTATATTCAGACATTCCTCAAGGCTCAGTCCTTGGACCTTTATTATTTTTAATCTATATTAATGATCGTCCTTTCGTTGTAAATTCTAACATTCTTCTATTAGTGGACAACTGCATCATTTCCAGAGAGATAACGAATACTAATGATTCTTCCTCACTCAAATCTGATCTTAGTACAGTTGCTAATTGGTGTAACGACTGGTTAATGGAGCTAAATAATAATAAATGTAAAGTCATGTGCATTTCTGGAAAATCTTCCCGCCCACCCACCTCACTACATTGATAACATTAACTTAGAATCACTGACTTCATATAAATACCTCGACGTGTACATCACAGCAAACCTCAACTGGCCTACTCATTTTTCGCACCTAATTAACAAGGCTATTCACATGTTAGGTTATCTTCGTCGAAATTTTTATCATGTTCCTCTTTTTTTTTTTGAAACTCCTCCTGTATAAAAAGCACCAATTCGATCGGAACTGAAGTATGCTACACTGGTCTGGTATCCCACCCAAGCTAACCTAATTTCTGCTCTAGAAATGGTTCAGAATAACTCCGCACGTTTCATTAACTTTAATTACAGTCGCACCACCAGTATAACTTCCATGAAATCAGACCTTTCCCTCCCATCGTTATCATCGCGCAGAAAAGTGTCACGCATTGCCTTGTTCCATTAAATGTATCATCACCCTGCACTACGCTATCGCCTCATCCCTGAGCCATCTTATGTATCCCATCGCACTGACCATCGTCATAAAGTCGGACTCACTTCATGTAATACTGCGCACTTTTATCATTCATTTCAGCCATGAGCCTCTCGTGATTGGAATGGCCTTTCCATGAACGTTTTGAACACTTTTCATCATGAACAGTTACGTTATTCCGTAGGTAATCATGTATACTCAGGATTTTTCAAAACTCACTCTAAGTTCACATTTTGCTCCTTTGTTACATATGTGTTTTGTTTTACTTTTTGCTTTATTGTATTTTTTGTTACTTTTTCTTTCTTGCTTTTTTGTGTCAAAGTGTTGCTACCCCCCCCCCCTCTGTAATGCCTCTGGCCCTGAGGGGTATAATATAATTAAATGAAAAATAAAGTGTTTCACTAAGTGACCAGGTGGTGGCTGATAGGAAGCGGCTGACGCTCTTCCTACTAGCCCATGCGTAATTGTGCGCGTGTCATCAGTGAATACAAGCTTTGCGCTATGAAACCACTACGAATAGCCAATTATCAGCATACCAAGGGCAAAGGATTGAAGGGGGCGTATCTGAAAAAGACTATTTCTGCTAATAAATTTCATAATTATCTAATATTATTACAAATTAACATACAGTAACTTGCACAGCTATTGACCAAGACCAACTAAGAAGCAGCTTGTGGCAAGTCCCTCTGAATAAGTAACGTATACTACACAACATGCATGAAGAGCGCTCTGTTCGCGTTCTGTCCTGTCTCGTCTCCCACTCTTCATCAATTATCTTGCGCAAACTGTTGCTTCTTCTTCGGCTACGCGCCCTAAAAGCGGCACTCACTCAATTTTGCATGGAAGCTTGTACGAATGTTCCTTGGCCTTGCAACAACACTTCTGATGCCGGTTATATTTCTTGGTGAACGTCTAACTTTCCTCTAAGCAAGTCACATTTCGATGCAAAGTCACTTCTCGCCTTTTTTGTCCTGCATCGCTCTATGTAGGGGTCATTCAGTCATGCAAAGCACAACGCCACCCTCTGTGCATTTATATCACGCGGGACCGCTGCATGATAAAAATGTCAATTTACTTGCTGTGACTATGTCGGGTAATTGACTACATCGGTAAGCTTTAAAAGTGTCAGTAAGTGTGTCCTTGTGCCCAGGAGCCTGGATAACGACGGTGGCGAGGAGGAGGCGTTCCTGGCGTCGAACGAGGGGTCCTCTATGATGGCAGACGATGAGACGACTTCTAATGATTTTTACGTGGGCTCAACGACAGGAGTCATCTACTTTGTCAGCGAGAACGGGAGCTGCGGCGACGTGTACCAGATGGACGCAGGTGTTGCACGTCTTCTGCATGACGTTTCTAGAGACGCCCTCGTAGTTGTCACCGACACATTGACCCTAGCCCAGTTTTCTATAGCAGACGGTGGCTTGTTATCAGAGAAAAGCCGTTTCAAAGTTAGTGGGCATGGTACAGACATGGTGGTCACGTGGGTCGCTGCAAAAGACGGAATAATTGGCTTAGCGGCCGGTGAAGCAAGCGTTCGCTTGCTGAACCTGGAGACTGGGGAGACCACGGTGCTGTCGCTCCCAGGCGCGGAATATGGCGAAACAGTTTCGTGCATAACCGCAGATGCTGCTGGGCGGACTCTTATCGTGGGCACGAATCATGGCCGGGTCGTTGTGTGGACGCTAACAGAAAACGGCGCTGACAGTAGATATTGGCGGTCACAGTTGGCCGCCAGTTTATGTAGTCCCGTTCGAGAACTGGCGAGGTGCGATACTCTCCGGATCACTGGCACCCTGACGATTGAGGATTTGTTTCTTCTAATAGAACAAGAAGCTTGCTTCAGTTTCCGGGAAGGCTGCCTCGCTCTTCAAACAGCCGCCAGACAAGTATTTGTGGATGGTGTCTCTAGTAACTGTCAGATCATTCTACAAACCGAAATCCCTGTAAAGTCCTTGTTCGTGAGTCGGCACCACATGGCTGTATCCAATGGAAAACGGCTCTTTTTCTATGAGATGCTGCCAAGTAGCAAGTCAGCCAAGTTCTTAGGAGCTATGAACACAGCATCTTCACTAATCGGACTGCACGAGTCAAGCGTCTACCTCGTAGAGAATGGCAAGCTCCACGTCAAGACATTCCAGGGCATCCTAAAGCAGACTATTCCTGTTTATGAAGAAGATGCCAGCGCAGCCTGTCTCGACATATCGGGAATTTTTCTCGCCCTTGGCTTATCTAACGGCTGCGTCCGCGTCTGGGACTTGAGCAGACGAGAGCTCAAGCTCCACGCAGAACTGAAGACAGCACTTGTTGCCAAGAGAAGCAATATGCCCCACTACAAAATCTCTAGTATCAAGTGCAACTGCGCCGGTAATAAAGTCAGCTTTCTCGTCCTAGAGGAGAGCGTGCCACATCGCACAGCACGCCGCGAAGGTTGCACTCTTTACGTCTGGAGTATAGAAGATGACTCGCTGTTCGAATTCAATTTCACTACTGGCGAAAGCTGCAAGGGGCAAGCTGTCGGTGACTCGCCATCCAACGGCACGGTACGCGACCGAGCTCCGATTTCGCATTACTGGGATGAAAGTGATCCTCGACTACTTGTTTGCGAAGCTCAGTGTGTGCCGTCGGGTCATGCACAAATCGATGCGTCCAGAAAGCGTGAACCACGCGTGGTGGTGGTGTCCTTTTTTGTAACGACAGAATATGGAATTTTGGAACAAGATGTCTTCCCACTTGACGACAAGTTCAGGCTGATGGGCGTACACGTTCCATTCTTTTATCTGTTGGCCAAGCATTCTGATGACGTCCGCGAACCAGGGATGGCTGAGAAAGTTCCTGGTTCCAAGCACGTCTTCCGGATGCCAATGCGCGATTTCGTCGGTTTGCACGATTGTGATGACACCGTGCGTGACGCCATTATGTCATTCAGCTTCTTCCTGACACTCCGGGACATGGACGAGGCTTTCAAAGCAATAAAGGCCATCAAAAATGAGGCAGTCTGGGAGAACATGGCGCGCATGTGTGTGAAAACCAAGCGGCTTGATGTGGCCAAGATATGCCTCGGAAAAATGGCTCATGCGCGTGGGGCTTGGTCCTTGAGACGAGCCATGGAGACTGAGCCCGAGCTAGAAGCACAAACGGCTATCCTGGCACTCCAGCTTGGCATGGTGCAAGAGGCTGAGGATTTACTCGAAAGCTGCAGCCGCTACGACTTGCTCGTCAGGGTTCTGGAAGATTCGGGCCAATGGGAACGAGCCATAGACGTCGCTCGACATCACGACCGAATTCGCCTGCGAGCCACGTACCATAACTACGCGAAACACCTCGAGGCGTCGGGCGATATTGAGAAAGCAGTAGCGGCATACGAGAAAGCTGAAACACATCTGTTCGATGTGCCTCGCATGCTTTTCGACAACCCGCAGGCGTTGGAGCAGTACGTTCGTGCGAGCGGAAGCCCCGAGATGATCAAGTGGTGGGCCCAGTACATGGAGAGCGTAGGGGAGATGGAGGCAGCATTGCAATTCTACGAAGCCGCGCGGGACTATTTGTCGCTTTTGCGCGTGCACTGCTACTTTGGCAACGTGGACAAGGCGTGCGAGATCGCCAACGAAATGGAAGACAGGGCGGCGTGCTTTCACCTGGCGAGATACCTAGAGAACCAGGACAATGTTCTGCAAGCGGTTCATTTCTTCGCGAGAGCGCGTGCGTTTGGTAATGCCATTAGGGTCTGCAAAGAAAACGACATGGACGATCAGCTGTACACCCTGGCCTTGCAAGCGGCGCCCAAAGAAGCTCTTGAGGCGGCCCGCTACTTTGAGCAGCGCCAAGACGGTCTTGAGAAAGCGGTCTCCCTGTACCAGCGCGGAGGCTGGACCTGCAAGGCGGCTGAACTGGCTCTCCAGGTAATGCAAAAATACATATGTGGTATCCAAACAAACACCTGCGCGATTCTTCGACGTTGCTTTTCACAATTTTTAACATACGTCATTCTACACTGCAGGCTCCGCGCCCATGAACACCTGCCATCTCTCTAAAAATTTTCAACAACAGAAATAGCTGTTCTCGCTAGAGTGGGCGGGCGCTACATATTTGTGGTGTTTTTTTTTCTGAAAATATTCAAAACAGCATAATTTCTCAGCGAAAAAGAGAATAGCTTTGTATGTGAACGTCCACAAATCATGTTGAGCAGTATCTACACTTCACTTGACATTTTAATGCATTTGTTTACGGTAATTACTGTAAATTTCAGGCAGTGCAGGCTCGTTCACTTCGCATATCTACTGAGGCTAACAACCAGAAATTGGCAGTGTTCATACATTTCCAATGTGTGCTAACACATACACATGATGTGTAGTTAGTTTTGTGCCTCAGCACAGAAAACGGCATTTTTTATCATAGTAAATAAAGCAGTGAGTTTATCATTCGAAGCATTTCTCATTGAAAAAGAAGCCATTTAATCTATCTGTCTATCTAATAAACTATCTATCTATCTATCCATCCGCTTAGGCGAATTTTCGGAAGTCAGCAGTTTCCATACATTTCCAATGTGTGCCGACACATATGATGTGTAGTTAGTTTTGTGCCTCAGCGCTGAAAACGGCACATTGTTACTAGAGTAAATAAAGCAGTGAATTTTTTTCATTCGAAGCATTTTTTATTGAAGCAGAAGCCGTTTAATCTATCTATCCACCTACGTATGAGTGCTCTCGTGATCGCCTCTTTAATAGGTGTAGACCAAAACTAGTATGAAAGGATAAGAAGGCTTGACAAAATGACTGATTGGCTATGTCATAAAAACATGAAAATATTGTCACGTACGTCATCAAACCCTTTGTCCAAGCACGTGTGACACATACCCGTATATTACGGGCCATGGTGTGCGGGTACACGTTACGGGAGATTGAGAGTTCATATCTACCCAGAAACGGCGAGCGCAGAGGGCTAAGAAAAGCCCACACAGACAGCCTTGACCAACAAATGCAAATAACGAAAATCAGGATCCAAACTGCACTTGAACCCAAGCGTTCTGCGTGGCAGTCAGACAAAGCCATGCCAGCTCTTGTGATTGCTGTGAAAAAAGACTCAATGCTGGCGTAATGAGGTGCAACATCATCATCAAAGCTCCCCGAAATACTACTCACTCAGACGCAGTCACGTCCCCATCTCAGTGCGGGAGTCTGGGGGAGTCGGCTCAGGAGTTTGTTAGCGTTTAATGAGCATTTTCAACCATGGTGTCGGGGCTTTTATTACCAATATCTCGTATAATCTGGGGTACTTGGAGCCTTCAATATTGTATCTTCAAATACGAGATATCAATTATTACATGTCAGCAACGACATGTTTATTCAAAGATATGACTTACGCAAAATATCTTCATTAATAACTCTTTGGTAGAGTTTGCAGGGGAAGTGGTGGAGATCAAAGCTCACACCTCGAAATAATAAATATTGAGGTGGCAAATGAATGCCACTTTTCATTAAGGTAACGTACCGAAATATGTGAGATGACTTGAGGCGTAAAATACCGTGAGGGTAAGTAGGTCGGCAAAAAATGTAACCTCACTCGGACTCACTCAATAACTATATTTGCTTAGTAGCATTCACTCGGACTCACCAGAGTTGTTCTCAATCCTACTCAGTAGGACTGATACTCAGCAGAATATTACCCAGAATCGCAGCTCCATCTGAGTCTCAGGAAGTTTGAGTGAGTCGACTCATTATTCGACCCTCTTTGGCGGCACAAAATGTCCATGCTGCCAATCAAACACAACCACTATCTAGAAAGTGTAGCGACAAGCCCGAGCAGACTTGACCTTTTAGAGGATTATAGTGATCAAGCTGGTGCAAATTAATGCAGCGCCCGTCTGCCCGACATACGCGCGGCCACATGAAAGTGGGATCGAGTCAGGGCTAAGCAGTATCACGATACCAAAGTATCGTGATAGTATCTTACAACTGTTTTTCAGTATCTGTGTTTTGGTATCGAGATACATTTGAAAAGTATATTTGTATCTCAGAAATCAAATACTTTTACGATGTATTGATTGGACCGCGATACCGTGTTGAACACGAGTATATCATTACTTTTTTTTGTCAAAAATGAGCTCACTTGTTTTTAAAATGAAAGAGAGGCATTTCTTCTACGCCAAGCAAAGGCACGCCACTGGATCCCGGACACAGCGAGATGCGGTAAAAGGTTTCCCGTACACATAGAATGAACCATGTGCCGAAGTACCCAATGCTTTGACAGTAGAATTGCAGGAGCGGAATTGTCATGCCCTGATGCTCTGCCGACGGGTGTCTCAGTCTTTCAAGGCAATCACCGCACCCCTATCTTTTTCGGGCGGCAAGCCATTGCGCCACTCTTGTGAACGCACGTTCTCTGCGCGTTCCATAGCTGTATCTCATCGAATGGCGGAAGTGCGGTGTAACTCGGTTGCGCGAGTTGTCTCCGTCCCTCGGCGGGGCTTAACGATAGCTTGTGCGTAGTTGTCGCAACTGCGCATAAGTGCTTGGCACGACGTTACGAAGTTATGCCAGGCAGTCTAGCAGCTGCCGCACTGCTGGTTGCCATAGCTACGGCAGGGATGGCTTTTCGTAAAACGCGCACGTTGTAATGGTCGCTTGCAGAGCTTAGCTCTTAAAATTGGTCACAGTGAAAAGTCGATCTTTGAGAACGTTTGACACATCAATAGCATTAATAGCAGAGCTCTACTGGTGCGAAAATTAAAGTAACTGTAGGACGTAATATGCTTCACGACTCATCAGTGGGATATTTCGGAATTAGCCACTATGACGCCAACAGTCCATATACAATGAATCAATAAAACTACTTATATGGATTCCCAACGTCCCAGCCATTTCGGCGACAATCTCAAATGTACTTGAAAAAAAATGCGCTGATTTACTCCATTGAAAACTGTGAAACGGTAGCATTTTTCTGAGAGAAAAAAAATATGGTCACGAGACTGCCTTCTGAACTTCTTGGAATGTCCTTTGGGTGTTGTTTGTGAAAAAATTTATTTTAAAATTACTGCTCCTTCATTCTATACCAAATTTCATCCGCATGTTAAGTAAAGGAGCTTGTGTAAGTTGTTTAAAGCTAAGTAATATTAGTGCAATTTTACTGGTACATACGGCTCCATGAATTGGGCCAAAATGTGTTATGTTTGCATTTTTCCTATTGTAATATTGCACTTTGTATGAATATCTGAGTAGTGACTACTTACTCTACAAAAAGTATATATTGAGAAAACAATAATTTTAGACCTCTCAAGCTGTTAACCTCACGAGAAAAAAATAACAAATTTCGCAAAATCGTTATTTTTGTTCATATTGAGACTCAATTTTGACCATGTGGTGGTCCAATTAAAAATCCCCTTTATTCCTAAAACGAATGCAAATAAACAGTTCTTTTCATATGGCAAATTTTACCATTACATTTTTTTGTTTTAAGGAATAAAATAATTTTTGAACATTCCCATTGACGGCAGTCTAATTGCAAGGCGGCAGCCGTCGTATGAACAAATGGGAAGATTCGCATGACGCCAATGGGAAAGTTCAAAAATTATTTTTTTTTGTAAAACAAAAAACTTTAATGATAATATTTGCTATCCTAAAAGAATCGTTCATTTGCTGTCAATTTAAGTATGAAAATTATTTTTAATTGAACCACCACATGGTGTAAAATTGAGTCTCAATATGGAAAAAAATGATGATTTCGCAAAATTAGTGATTTTTTTCTCTTAAAGTGTATGTAGGAGCTGGAAAGTCTAAAATATTTTTCCCTTTAAATATATCTTTCGTGAAGTAAGCATTCACAACTCAGATATTGGAACCTGGAACGTTCACATTGAACATATTATTAACAATGCAAACCGCATGCTGGGTTACCTGAGGCGTAATTTTTCTAAGGCACCATTTTCTCTTAAACTACTGTTGTACAAAATACTTATTCGTTCTAAATTAGAATACGCCCCGTGTATTTGGGATCCTTATTGTAACAATCTCATAAACTCACTTGAAATGGTACAAAACAATTCTGCCCGTTTCATCCTGTCTAACTATAACCGAACCACCAGCGTAACAACAATGAAATCTTCCCTTAACCTTCAATCCCTAGCAGTTCGACGTAAAATTTCCCGACTTTCGTTGTTCCACAAAATATTTTATGACCAACATCTGCGTGAAGAACTCATTTTGCCTTCATTGTACATTTCTTCTCGCCTTGATCGTGTTCACAATGTCTGTATTGCATCAACACGAACGACCGCTTTTTCTCAATCATTTATTTCCCGTACGTCATTAGAATGGAATCGCCTTGCCTCTCCTACAGCAACCATTGTAAATCACAAGCTTTTCAAAAATGCCATAGTCAACATTTTGTTATTCTTGCTTGTTGTGTACAGTTATGCTTGCTTGCTGCGTTTCTTTTTGTTCTGCCTAATTTTGTATAATATGTTTGTTTGATATGTTTTTCTCTCGCTGCTTTTTTTGTTATTCTTATGAATGTACCCACTCCCCTCTATATTGCGATTGGCCCTGAGGGTATTGCTAATAAATAAATAAATAAATAAATATTCATACAAAGTGCAGTATTGCAATAGAAAAATTGTAAACATAACACCATTTGGCTAAATTCTTGGAGGCGTATGAGCCAAAAAAATGGCACCGATATTACTGAGCCTCAAAAACCTTACACAAGAACCTGTACTTAACAAGCAGATCAAATTTGGTACAGAAAGAAGGAGCGGCACTGTTCCAAAAAAGTTTTTACACAACCAACAAACAAACGACATTCCACGAAACTGCGAAGGCAGCCACGTGACCACAAAAATATTTCTCTTCGAAATATTCTACCAGTTGACTGTTTTCAATTCCATAATTCAGCACGATTTTTTTTT